TGCTTTAAAGTCTACTTACCACACACATGAATCAAAGCTGTTACTTTATAAACTACCCAGTCAGTAAGTTTGGATCAGGAGACCTCTTTCCTCAGACTCATGTTAAGACACAAGTAACAGCCACACTTTTAGGTAACCATATATTAAATCACTCATTTTCCAGCTAAACAAACTACAGGCCAAAGAGGACCACTGAGCTGTCCAAGACCACAGGTTGAGTCCACCACTCTGGAATCTTGGTCCAGACCACTTCCCTCGCATGAAAACAGGCAACGATAAAGGAGCTGTGGTTTCTCTAACTGATGGACAGTTTAGGCAATATATACAGTAAGGGAAGTTCCAAAATAACTTCATTTAAAATACATTTTGAACAACATAAAACGACTAAGTACTTGATTCAGAAAGCGTAGAAGAGACGTCTAGCTTATTTATATTAACTGCTCCTCAAAAACTTGCTCCTTCCATTTCAGGAGGAGGAATGAGAACAGAACCCCAGAGGAAGCCACGTAACAGGTATATGAAAAGGACTGGGGAGATGCGAATTTTCTGGCGTACCGTAGAGATTTTGAGTATTTCTGTTATTTTCTGTTTTTCTTTTTTGGGCCTGCATCCAGGCAACAAAATGAGTAGCCTGCTCATGTGAAGTGACGACGCAAACCTGCTGCTTGGCCACAGTTCTGGCATTCCGGGGCCACCCACTTTCCTACTCTCCAGACGAAGCTGCAGCCTCTCACTCCCAGACTTCCAGCTCCCTTCCCAGTCACCTCTTCAGCTGGGAAAGTGGGAGCTATCATTTTCCCAGTAACAAATTTAGCAACCTACCTGCATATATGCCCCGTTCACTCCAGAATCTAAGCTCCACAAGGTTACAGATTGTCGTTTTGGTCACTGCTTTATCCCCAGGACTGAACACGCCGCCTTGCAAATGATACGTGCACAAGTATTTGAGCAAATGAATAGAAGTGCTGCCTTACCTGTGGACGTGGACAATGAATGCACTGTCCCTTCCACCTATCGAGACCAGCCTCTCCTGAGTCCTGCATCCTGCTCCATCTTGCCCATTGTTTCCCCGTCAACAGCATCCACTGTCCCCTTCAAATGGAATTCCATCAGCACATAATCAATCATGCCATATTATTTCCTGAAAATCTCAAGTCCTCCCTTAGCTCACCTCCGCCTCAGTTATGACCCATTTCTGTGCCCCTTTGCAAAGCTTCAGTGGTCTACAGTTGCCGTCTCTACTTCAGTCCCCTTCTGCTCACAGCCCAGCCCCCAAACTTGCAGCTTGTTAGCCACAATTCCCATTGTCTAACGGTTAGTTTTCTGTGCTCATCTTCCCTGAACTGCACCTGAATGAGCTGACGACTCCCTTCTGGAAACACTGTCTCACAATACCGAGAGCTCTCAGGTTCCTTTGCTAGCTCCTCCCCGTTTTAGATGTCAGAGTGACACAGGGCTGACCTCTTCCAGATCTACTTGGTTGCTCTTCAAGTGATGCTGATGCCGCTGGGCCAGGACACTGAGCAGCTTGCTAGAAGTGCAGACGCTCAGCCAGGCGCGGTGGCTCACACTTGTAATCCCAGCACTTTGAGAGGCCAAGGCAGGTGGATCAGGAGGTCAGGAGTTCCAGACCAGCCTGGCCAACACAGTGAAACTGTTTCTACTAAAAATACAAAAATTAGCTGGCGTGGTGGCAGGCGCCTGCAATCCCAGCTACTCAGGCAGCTGAGATAAGAGAATGGCTTGAACTGGGAGGCAGAGGTTGCAGTGAGCCGAGATCACGCCACTGCGCTCCAGGCTGGGTGACAGAGCTAGACTGTCTCAAAAAAAAAAATGAAATGCAGACCCTCAGGCCCCACACCAGATCTCCCGAAGCAGAATCTGTATTTTAACCCGATGTATTAACACATGCTTATTAACATTTGAGAAGCTCTAATTTCCTAATTGCAGTCACATGGCTTCAACCTGCGTAGACTGATGCCCCCAAATGTTTACCTCCTATTACCCTAATGGCCATATGCAGGGCTCCATGCTGGATTCTACTAGAAATCTACTAGGCATCTCAAAGCCAAGTGCAAAACACAAATCTTGATTTTTTTCCCCCTCAGGCCAACAACTCGAGTCACCCTTGTCATCTCCTTGACTTCCAACCAAGCCCTGGGCCCAAGTTCTGTTGGCTGTAGCTTTAGAACACCGAGTCCCACCACCAGACGCTGCTGCTGTTGCCAACATCCTAGGCTAAGCCACTGACGCTCGACGTGAAGGTTTCTGAGTTGCTTCTCCTAAATCTCCCTGTTTTCACCTGTAATACTGTGTACACAGTATCCAGAGTGATCTTTAAATATGTCAGACCATGGCTCAAAACCCTTCAATGGCTTCCCAAATTCCCTGCCATGGCTTCCAACAGTCCCCAGTTCCTAGCCCGTCGAACACTGTGCTCTAATGCTCTGCTTTCGTCAAATTGCCAAGCGTGTTCCTCTTTTCTCCTCAAATCTTTGTCTGCTTGCTTATTTCTGCTCTTAGCGCTACGAATTACTTCCTTAGAGACACCTTTTAAAATCACCATAATTAAAAGACTCACCACCCCATTACCATTCATTTCCAGCCCTTTACCTGGCTTTCATTTTAGCATTTACCTGACATTATATTTATCTGACTCCTCCACTAGAACGTATTGTTCACAGGCAGGGATATTTTTCTACCACAACTGCTTAAAACAGTGCCGGCACATGAAGAAGCGCTAAGATGCTGATTATTCGAGCACTGGTGGTGGAGCCACTGGGGGCAGGGGACACACTCTCGAGTGTGTATAAGCATCTATACATGCTTCAGATTTGCATAAATCTGGATGTAGAGAATCCACAGCAGCTTTCAGTAAGTTGAAAACTGTGAAACGTGACAGCGGTTCCAAAGCATTTCTTTACATTAGAATAAAGATCTTTAAAAAAATTCTAATGCTTAAGCGACCTTCCAAATGAATTCGATCACAGTTGCTGAGGGTAGGGCACAGGTATCAGTATTTGTTGAAACTCCCAGGTAATTCCAATGTGAGGTAAGTCTGAGAACCACGGGTATATGAGTTGGTAACTAGGATATGAGATGGTGCATGAGATCCAGAATATTCAACAGAAGGAATTCCCATCATAATGCTATGCCTGCTTAAGACTTCTATTTCCAAGAGGCATAGAGAACAAAACAAAAAAGTCATAAACTTAAAACTGTTTCAGATATTAGGCCTTCAAGAGAGCACAACTTCCAGGATTTTCCAGGTCATTTTCCTGTCACTTCTAATCCAAACTTGGCATTTCTATGAGGAAGTTTATTCTTTTCTCCCATCTGCCGAGGCAGATTTATGCATGAAAAAGAGAAGGCTCTGGGGGTTTTGTTCCTACTGCTGTTGTAATGGTTGTCAAGTAAAAAGCCTCCATTCTGGTAACAAGGTTGTAATCACAAAAACATAATGTCATATTCTCATGAGAGAGAAAGGATTTCCTTATAACTCAAATAAGTGATTACGATGAGAAAGGAGCTCCTGGATTCTTAATCATGCCACCCAACGTTTCTCACCCAAAAGGCAATAGAACCAACTAGCTCCAGTTATGAATCAAAATAGCCACAGAGCAGAAGCTAACAAACACTGCGCATTTACCCATCTCCAAACTCACCTTTAAACTATCTTTACACCTCAGAATGAAGGACAAAATCAATGAAAGAGAAGTCATGTCATTATTAAAATCCTCACTGCAGTGCAAATGCTGGACATTTCTGAGGAATCTTGGAGATAGTTAAGCCAACTCATTTTACAGGTCAATGACCTGACACAGGATAAGGTGAAATGACAGGCCTCAAAGTCACACAGGAGAGCTAGAAGAGAAAAAGCTTTTTTTTTCCCCCCCAAAACAAGCATACAGGATTTTTCATGTTAATCAAAAAGAGATCAAGATCATCAGATCAGGAAGAAATGAGGAATACAACATATGCTACACACAGATTTAGAGAACTACTCAATTTGCTGCCCCCCAACCAAAAACTTCTCTAAACATATGGACATATATCCATCAAGCAGCTTACCCTTAAAATATCAGAATCTTGGAAAAATTCAATTTACAAATACATGATTAATTGCATTGCTATGAAGAGTTCATTAAAGTGAAAATGTCAAACAGCACCAATAGCAGAAGTTAATATTTAAAATAATGTATAGTCACTGATTGGGACAGAAATAAACTATAACCACTAGCAAAACCATTTAAAACAACTCTCTGACATAAAGGCAATATGTAAAGACCACTATCTGCCCTTTTCCACTGATAGCCTGTGGCTAAGCATCCTGGAGTGGGTCACATGGAAAACACTATTAAGATGCATTTTTAAATTGTTCAACTTTGAACCGTAACCCAAAGTTTGCCAATGTAAGCCAATGGCTGCTAACTACTCTTACCTGTCCCAATTAAAACAAAACACAAAACAACTCCCTTATTAAGCACTAGATTAAATATATCTACAAAGTAGCAGCAAGGCATTTACAAACGGGCTACTGACAGAGTATCAAAATACTATGAAGGAAAAGACAGCAGCAAGTCCTCTCACAGAGTGCATTATTCCACATGGAATCCCAAATTACTTTTATTTCCAGTTCCTTAAAGTCCTGGAAGACTAGAGAGGAACAAGCTCTATAGAAACAGGGCTAGGGAAAAAGAAGCTCAAATGGCAGAGTATTTGTATTTTAAAGTACCCAAGATCATTTGATGCTTACAGAGAAATCCTACTGTATCTAAAATTTTTTAAAGCATGTAGAACCAAAATGCTAGTGAAACTTTTGTTTACCCAAAAAATCACACTGCAGTTTTAAGTGAAATGAAATAAGCATGGTTTGTGAAGTTTTTTAGAATGTTTATACCACCCTCTTCTTCCTGTTCCCTACTCCTTTCATCAGGTGATCCAAAGACTACCTGGTTTAAAATATTTGGTAATTCAGTGCAGAAAATTAAGGTCACAGACAAAGTACAACAACTTTTAATACACCGTTAATACTAATGATCAAAAATTATTGCATAGTCTTATGCGTTTACCCTAAAACATTTTCTCAAAGTAAACGAATTATAGAAAAGACAAATAATCCTGATGTGGATGGCCTTTACTACCTCGATCTTCTGTCCTTTTTTGTCTTTTCAGTACTTTTGTCCATTGTTTTCTCATTATCTCCCCTGCACTTTGGGCAATACCATTTCCCCTTTGGTTTATAGGTAAGTGAAACACATGAAAAGTGAAACCATTCAATTGGACACTGTTCGTTGTCACATCCTATCATCTCCCCATAAGACACTTGGTTGCATAAGCAGTATGTAGGTTCATTAGGATCTATGGCAAACTCAACAGGTGAAGCTTCCCTTTCCTGCTTGGCCTTGGAGCGTTTCTTTTTCTTTGCTGATTTGGATTTCTTTTCTTTAGGTGGCTGATCATCACAGTCTTCAATCCCGTTTGTCATGTGACATAAATCACGGCTTTCGCTGGTCCGCTGCCTGCGGGGTCTTCTTGAAGATCTTTCTGGTTGGCTGGAATCCACCTTTGCTTTATCTGAGGCCCTTTCACTTTCAGCTGGATCTTGGAAACACTGTGAGTGTAGCTCCATTTGTCTTGCCCGGTTTTCCACCAGTTCGAGCATTTGTGTAACAATCTGGATTTTTTCGTCTCCTAATTCTTGACTATTAATGAGTGCTCTCTGGAGAAGCTGCTGCAGACGTTTTTTCTGGTTTAAATCATCTTCTTTCTTATATTTTTCATAGACATCATCAATTTCCTTTAACGTTTCTAAAAAAGGAAAAGAAAAATGAGAATGTTATCATGGGTTAGCATACATAACATTTACAAGTTAGTTATTTTTTACAGAATTGAAGTCAGAACCCAAACCACACTCCTCTTTGGTATGTATACAATAAAAACTACTTCCCATACAAATACCACATTATCTAATATGAAACTATACTTAGAAATAAGGTAATAACAAGAAAGAGCACAAAACTAATACTCATTAATCCATATTAAAAAGAATAAGAGATGTGTGGCTAATTAACGATCAAAAATATTTCTCATGGGCAGGAACACTGTATGCCACTTGAGTCTACTTAGTGCTAGAACCCCTTCAAGATAACCGTAGATATAAAATTTGCAGGCTGGGGTCCAGCTCTACAACTTGAAAAGGTTATAGGACTAGGCTACAGATTACTGCCCAGCTGTGTTTACAGAATTTACAGTCCAGTCGATGACTTGTGACATGGCTCCAGAGATGCTACAGCTTCACTTTCACACCAAACAGTCTGAACACTCTTAGCTTCCCATCATCTTAGTTTTAATGGCTCTATTTTAGCCTCATATGGGAAACTCAGAAAATGAAACTATTTCCAGAGTAGGTTCTAGTTCTGACATCAACTGACCAAACCACTAACGAAATTACAGTAAAGCCAGCACTGGACCATTCTGCCTTTGTAGATAAATTGTAATTGATTCTAAGCTTTCTGAACTGCTGATTTAGTCACACGGCACATGGAACACACTTATTTAAATCAAATAAAAATAGCTGAGACACTAGAAGGTATCCAAAAATCTCAAAATATAATTTCGTATGTCACCAGAAATTTACTTAAGATTAGTTTTGTTCAAATCTGCTTAATTTCTTATTCTTACAAGATGTAATTCTATCTGAAAGAGTTCTGTCTGCATGGTATTTTTCATGCCACATGGCATACCAGTTTTATATTCCAGTATTATAATTACTAAAAACAGAAATGTTAGAGGAGTAAATATATACATTGGGGCTGTCTGCAAGTAAGGCACACAAAAGCAAATATCGAACACAACTCACTAATTAAAGTACTCAGACTTGAGGTACAACTGTCTAACCTGGAATACATAACAAAGTGCCACCACACAATTGAGAGTACTTATACCTGCATAGCATATTTCTGAACAAAGTTCGTAACTATTCCATTTGCTTAGCTAGGCATCTAGGCAGATTTCTTAAGAACCTAATTTCCCTACAAGAAAAATAAGGAAACTGGTTCATTCAGACACACAAAAAAAACAAGGATTAAAAATGAAGAGGTAATTCTCATTTCAAATATTCTGTACCTAATAATCAGGTGCTAGAGCTAAGTATAGTATATATCATACCAGCACACTAATACCATACGTGAGATAAAAAAGTTTTCAAGACATCTTATTATATAGTGAAATAAGACAAGAAATTAACATTTACTCAGTGCTTTCTATGCAGTAAAGATTTTCCCAGTTAATCCCCACAGCAACCCCACAAGGAAGCCATCATCACTTCTGCATGTGCAAAAACTGCAACTGAAGAGATAAGAACACCAGACTTTGAACTGTGCCAGATCTGTAAGTCTGACCCTGCAGTGTAAGCCCTTTTCTATCAATTACATGAACAGCACTTGAAATTAAGTATCAAATTTTAGTTTGAAGGTTATTTAAGAAACTAGATAAATAATTTCTTTGTTCTAGAACAAAAAAGTTCTCTAATAACACTATCTCATGATAAGTACTTCAATTGTTAAATTGTTTTCTTCATTTATCTTCTTTATAGGTTTTTCAGCAGCTCTTAAAATAGCTCAAGTAGATGGGAAATTTCTTTGACTGCCTATATAATTTATATCACTAAATATTGCTAGAAATACTAGATCCAAAACCAAAGAATACTTATTAGCTAGTGAAGAAATTAAAAAAAAACATGAAATCGGCCGGGCGCGGTGGCTCACCCCTGTAATCCCAGCACTTTGGGAGGCCGAGGTGGGTGGATCACGAGGTAAAGAGATCAAGACCATCCTGGTCAACAAGGTGAAACCCCGTCTCTACTAAAAATACAAAAATTAGCTGGGCATGGTGGTGTGCGCCTGTAGTCCCAGCTACTTGGTAGGCTGAGGCAGGAGAATTGCGTGAACCCAGGAGGCGGAGGTTGCGGTGAGCCGAGATTGCGCCATTGCACTCCAGCCTGGGTAACAAAAGCGAAACTCCACCTCAAAAAAAAAAAAAAACATGAAATCTGAACCCAGAACACAAAATATATATAAACATAACACTGTGAAAGCTGAGCTCAGTAACCACGCGCAGAGTCTCAAAACTGGATGAGTTAGTATTATTAATTATTAAATTAATCAGTCTTCATAGAGCTAAGAATTTTTATAATGTCTCAATCTTGTAAAGCATACTATATTGTTACCAGAACTATTAATACAGGACAATTATAGATGATCCGGAAGCAGATTTCCCTGTCAACAAATTATAGCATCCCTCACCAACTTCAAACAGCTTAACTCTCGTGAAAGGAAACATGTGCCTTCAAACAATGTAAAAACCTGCAAGCTTTACAAACTTAAGAGTTATTTGAAAAACTAGAAAGGTTCAATGTACAATTATTAAACATATATCACGTTTAGGTTACCATTCATGTATGTACTCCATACCTCTAGAAATCCCCTTGGGCAGTTCCAATGTTTTTTTTTTTTTTTTTTTTTTTGAGACAGAGTTTCGCTCTTGTTACCCAGGCTGGAGTGCAATGGCGCCATCTCGGCTCACCGCAACCTCTGCCTCCTGGGTTCAGGCAATTCTCCTGCCTCAGCCTCCTGAGTAGCTGGGATTACAGGCACGTGCCACCATGCCCAGCTAATTTTTTGTATTTTTAGTAGAGACGGGGTTTCACCATGTTGACCAGGATGGTCTCGATCTCTTGACCTCGTGATCCACCCGCCTCGGCCTCCCAAAGTGCTGAAATTACACGCCTGAGCCACGGCGCCCGGCCCCTATTTTTTAAAGTTTAAATCGTTTGAAAACAAGGATGTGCATCTAAAGTAGCAGGCTTTGGAGCCATATAGTCTACATCTAATTAACTGGACGAGTTACTTAAACTCTCTGTAAATATTATCTGTAAAAGAAATACTTATATGATGGTCTGTACCTGGCGTATCAGTATTAATTCCCTTCCCCGCCCCCTGCAACACAGGATTCGGGCCTTACGAATCCTACGGATTCAGAAAACAGATAAATTTATAAACTAAAAAATCAGAGACACTTAAATTTCTAACATGCTACAGGTCAGAAAATGTCACCCAAGAAGCTGATTCCTCAGAGACTTTTAAACTATAGGATTACTGACGTGTCTACAAAAATAGAGAATGGGTTCAGAAAGTTATCTTTAAAGTCCATATGGCTGTTTCCATACTATGTTCAAGGTCTGTTCCTCGACTCAGGGTTATTAGGCGCAACACATTTCCCCTTTTAAACTGCCCTTCTAGGGGCACAACCGATAGTAGATGATAAGGCTATAAGGAAGGTCGATTCTGTCCCGGCTTCCCGGGTCGGCCCGCAAAGGGTGGTTTCGCCTCATCACTGAAGTACAAGGAGGAGGGGCTCGGGGACGCCAGGCGGTTGCCCAGTCAACCAACCCACATCCTCCAGAGGCCCGGAAGTGACACATGTCCCGGAACTTACGCGGAGCCAGGATCCGCGACCGTCCGAGCTGCCGATCCCCGTCCTGACTCACGGGTTGGAAGAGCCTGGAAATATCGCCGCAAACATGCTACAACCCCCGACTCGGACGCTGCTAGGGCCGAACCAACGCCCCGCACCGCCCCGATTCCCTCCTCAGCAGCCGGCACGCTACTGCCCTTCTCGCTACCAGCCAAGTTCCAGGCCCGCGAGAATCCGCGCCGCGCCCCTCCCACGCCTACGTCACGCCCGCAGGCCCCGCCCCCGGCGCGGGCCCTCCCCGCCACACACGCCCCTCTCTTCCTCCCGGGCGGGGGACCCCTCCCCTCTTAACCATTGGCCGGAGGAGCTGGGCCAGGGCTGCGGCGCTAGGCGATCCGGAACTTTCCCGGGGCGGGAGAGCGGAACGGACCGCGCTCCTCCGGGCCGGGGCTGGGGCGCCGAGGGAGGCCCCCTCAGTCCGCCTCCACGGCCTCTCGCCCCCTCCCCCGGCACGTTCCAAAGCACCCGCGCTCCCGGGTGGGGGCGAGTCGGGTGGGGAAGCGCGCCCGGCAGATCAGCGGGAGCCCGGCCGCTCACTCCCTCTGGCCCCTGCCCGGCTGCACAATCCCGGGCCGGGGCGGCAAGGTCTGCGGCACGGGGCGGGCGAGCGCCAGAACAAATGCTTGCTGCTTAAAATGGCTGATTCCCCTCCCCGGCAGCTGCAGCCGCTGGGTCTGCAGCGGGGGCTGACGAGCGGCCCCCACCCCCAATCCGGGGACCCCAGAGAAGTCTTAGCCCACCGCGGGGCAGGGGAGGGCCCGAACCCGGTCTCCAGTCCTCCCCGTCCCGCTCAGCAGACCCTCGGTGCGCTCGGCGAGACTGTCACGGGAGAAAGGGAGGTGGCACTCCCCCGGGCAGGCTCCCCGCCACCGGCTCCGAGGCCGGTAGCCCCGCGGCCCCTACCTTGATATTTGTTGTCCAGCTCTCGCAGCACAGACACGTTCCTCTGCATGTCGTGGGGCAGCGACTCCACGCACTCAAGGTAGTCCTGCACGTAGCAGGTGAGCAGCCGGCTCCGCTCCCCGGTCAGGAGGGCGGCCGACGAGTACAGTTGCTGCTGCTGCCCTAACATCCTGCCGCTCAGCGCCGCCGCCGCCGCCTCCGCATCCAGCAGCCGTACATGCACCGGCCGCGGCCGCCGCGGGCCCTTCGCTCCGCAGCCCGGCGCCGCGGGGACCCCGCAGCCGCTCGAGAGGGCACGGCCGCGCTCCCCGACCTCCGCTCCCCCCCAAAGCAGCCCTCACTCTCCGCCCCCGCGGCACCAGCCCAGGGGCGGGGCGAAACTCCAGGCTCGGAGCAGCCGGGATCCCCTCGGCGGGGCCGGCGCCGGAGTCACGGGCGCTGACACTTCCTGTCCCTCTCGGAGTCCCCAGATGCTACCAGTGCCGTCTCGCAGCCCGGATCCCCATGACAAGCCCGTCGCCGCCCGCCAGTCCCCAGGCACCCTCCGTGCCTGACGGGGAGCCTCCCGCTGGCCTGCCCCCGCCCCTCCGCCCGCGGCCGCCTCTGCGCCTGCGCACGGCTCGCTCCAAATGAGGCGGGGCCCCGCCCCTACCGCCTACCGAAGGGTTCGCATTCTCCCGCCTTCGCTCCGCCGCCCGGGCGATTGGTCTGCTGGCTCAAGGCTAGCGGGGAGGGCGCGAGGGGGGCGGCCAAACGGCAGGCCGCGCCCCGCCTCCCTTAAAGGGGAAGCCCGGGGAGCCCGCCTCTGCGCCCCAAGTCTGAATGGGACCCGACAGGGGAGGTGGCTTGGTCCTTCTTGCGGTCCTCCCCAAAGGGAGGGGCAGCTCTTCCCGGCTCGCTCCGCCTGGCCTCACGGGCTTTTTCCCCATCCGGCGGTCCGAGCGCGGGTCCGAGCGAGCCTGCAAAGGAGCAGCAAGCGGCCCCTTTTCTGACTACCCGGAGCGAGGCCTGCGGGACTGCGCGCCCCGGCGGGCGGCTCCCAGCATGCGCGGCGGCTGCGTTCCCGCCGCCTCTGAGCTCGCCTGGGGCTGCCGCCCGCCTCCTGCCGGGCCCTCGGGCTCGCCCGGCCCTGCGGAGCTGATCGGAGAGGTAGACCGTGCTCCCTCCGGCCCCGGCGGCGTCGTGTGCCCTGCGGGTTTCCTGGCCCTTGCCCTGCGCGGGAATCTACTGTGTCATTTAGGGGGAAGAGACGCGGGGCGGCCTCTGCCTGCCAACGCATTGGTCCCTAAAAACAACTACGTTTGGGGGTGTCAGACCATGTAAGCATGGGACGTCGGCGAGGCTTCCAGGGGCACACGGCAGCTTTACGGGAGTCTTTGCTCAATCCTGTCCCGTGACTACAACCGGAGGGGACCGGGGCGGTGGAGACGCTAGTAGATACCTAGTCAGCGGGCGGGCCCTCGGCCCCGCGATCTGCGGGGTCTAGTGGGGTTTCACTTCGGTGTAGTGTAAACCAGATGCCCGGCGGAGGAGCTGATTTTACTTAGATAGACTTTTTTGAGAGAAATGGTGTCAGTAGAACGAATGCCTGGAGAATTTTGATGGATGCCGATGTAAACAAGCCCTATTGTGAGTACTACCTTGGAGTTAAAAAGAAAATGTGAGTGAGTGGCGACAAATTTGGATCTTAGATCCAGTTTGCAGCGTGGGTGCACCGGAATGGTGACCTATTTAGAGCACTTTTGAAACAGCTGGGAATAGTAACTAGCCTTCGGCTTGCAAGAGAAATCTAGCTCTTTATCGAGAGGAAATTTTACATGTCAAACAGAAATAAAGCACTCCAGGCATCTTGACGTCTTGGGACGTCAACTATTGCAAAGGACTGGGAAATTGTCTTGGGTTATTATCCTGGGACACTGAGCTTTGGGCCAGTATTAATTCAACCCAGACAGTACAATATATTGTATTTCTGAGAACGTTTGGGAATGTTATAGTTCTTTAAACTTTTCGGCCGTGTCTCGTCAAAAAAACGGCCTCTGGAGAACTGAATTGTACTGGTTTTTACTTGAACCCTACAATTTTTGTTTTCTCACAAATTTGAATAAGCTAGTGTTTTTCAAAGGCCCAAAATAATGCATGGTGCCTTATTACAGGTCAAACACAGAATGCACCTATGGATTTTATTTAGCCTGATAAGTGATCTGCAGGTATCTCTGTGTTTAGAAACTGGAAGGGAGGGCCGGGCGCGGTGGTTCACGCCTGTAATCCCAGCACTTTGGGAGGCCGAGGCGGGTGGATCACGAGGTCAAGAGATCAAGACCATCCTGGTCAACATGGTGAAACCCCATTTCTACTAAAAATACAAAAAATTAGCTGGGCATCGTGGCGCGTGCCTGTAATCCCAGCTACTCAGGAGGCTGAGGCAGGAGAATTGCCTGAACCCAGGAGGCGGAGGTTGTGGTGAGCCGAGATCGCGCCATTGCACTCCAACCTGGGTAACGAGCGAAACTCCGACTCAAAAAAAAAAAAAAAATTTATATATATACACACCAAAAAAAATTAGCGGGGTGTGGTGGCGGGGGCTGAGGCAGGAGAATCGCTTGAACCCGGGAGGCGGAGGTTGCAGTGAGCGAGATCATGCCGTTGCACTCCAGCCTGGGTGAAAGTGGGAGACTATATCTCAAAAAAAGAAAGTAACTAGAAGGAGAAAACAAAGATGCGGAATACCTAGAGCACTCCCTCTAGAAGCAGAGCAAGGTGAGAGGAGGGATGAGCATGGGCCAGAAGGCATTTTAGGGCATTGTTTTCACCCTTTATAATTGTGTTGAACAGGCTGGAAAAAAGCAAAAACATCCAAAGAATATTTGAGCTGATACGGCCCTAAAACTATAAAACACTGTAACATGATAATATATGTATACGCATGAATTATTGCAGACATGCTTTTCTTGCTGTGTTTATTTTAAAAGGTTAATCTAAGGCTTATTCTTGCCACCCTGTGAAAGCAGCCTGTCGGGAGAGCACTTCAGTGGAAAAAAAATTAAAAATCACCACAATCCCTAAACCCAACTCTTGACATTGGTTGTTCAGTGCTGTCCTTCCCTTCTGAGTGGTCACTTAACTGGAAATATGGGGCCTCTTCAGATTGAATTTCTTGTCTTCCAAACGCAAAATTAAAAATCTCCCATTCTTAGCGACTGAAGTTAATTGATGATAGTTAATCCTGTGAGTAAAGCAAAAAGGAATTTTATTTGCTCCACAGTGTATTATAAGCAGCCCTAAGAAAAAGATAAGTCACTGGTCTCCCCAAATTAGTCTGAAATTACCTTGAATTTCTAAGTCGGTGACTTGAAGAGGTCCCTGGCAGGAAACACATATGCCTCCATACCTGTCTCTTGGGAAGAGCAACAACTTCCAAATGATGGAAGAAAACTGGCAAGTCAGTGTGAGAGAGTCATAAAGATGGCTGCTGAGAAAATTCAGCTTCTGTCGAGTCAGACCAAATACATTTGAAATCCTTTTCTTTTTTCCACTTTTTAATATTTTTAAACTTCATTATGGAAATTTTCAGACAAAGGCAAAAGTAAAAGTAATAGCATAATAATTCCTTAATATACCATTTACCCAGTTTCAACAGTTAGCAACATATGGCTAAGATTATTTAATACATATCCCTTCACACTCCCTCACCCTTGCTGGACTTTTATCATTTTATCTGTAAATACTTTAATATGAACAGGTAAAAGTAACAGTTATTTGTCGCTGCTGTTGTTGTTTTTGAGACAGTTTTGCTTTTGCCACCCAGGCTGGAGTACAATGGTGCAGTGATCTCGTCTCACTGTAAACTCCACCTCCCAGGTTCACGCGATTCTCCTGCCTCAGCTTCCCAAGTAGCTGGGATTAAAGGTGTGCGCCACCACTCCCAGCTAATTTTTGTATTTTTAGTAGAGACAGGGTTTCACCATGTTGGTCAGGCCAGTGTCAAACTCTTGACCTCCAGTGATCAGCCTGCCTCAGCCTCCCAAACTACTGTGATTACAGGCGTGAGCTACTGCACCCAGCCAAGGTAACAGTTTTTTAAACATATCCATAATACCATTTATTCTACCTCCCCAAATTTTCTTACTATCATTAAATACTACACAATTCAGATTTTCCTATTGTCTCATTAAATCTTTTACATTTGGTTTAACATCCCTTGCTTTTTATTTGGTTAACAAGGTCTTTTCCAAACCAGTAAGAGGCAGTTAATTCCCTGTTTAGTTCAGTGAAGCAGAGAGCAGTGTTTTCCTGAGGAAGAAATTTGAGTAGTTGAAAATCACTGCTATAAAGATGGAGACATTCAAGAAGTCTTCATATGAAAAGGTCACCAATTGATAGCATGTCGTAAGAAATGTCATTGTACCTGATGCAAAGAAATAAATCCTTACTAGTTGTCAGGGCTCTATATGCAAGCCTGAAGCCTGAAGCCTGAAAGGCTGAAGTCCTGCTTGTCTCCGGTGAAGTCTCCCACCCCCCGCCTGCGTTTGCCGTTGTCCTGATCACCCACCGGAGCTTCCCACAAGCCCCTCACCCAACCCTGCCACCTTAACTGTTTTTATGATAATCTAAATACCGCTTACCCAACTTGCCATTGTAACTGAACTTGTATACTCCTTGCTCCTACCCCCCACCACTATAACAACTTACTCTGCAACACCCCTGCCCCCGAAAAACTACCTAAACCTATAAAACCAACTCCTATCACACTGCCCTTTGCCAATGCCCTTTTCGGCCTTAGCCCACCTGCACTGAGGTGAATAAACAGCCCTGTTGCTCACACAAAGCCTGTTTGGAAGGTCTCTTCATTCAAAGCCCATGTTTTTCAACATTTGGTGCCGAAACCCGGGATGGGGGAACTTCCATGGGAGACCAAACCCCTGTTCCTGTTCTTGTGCGCCCTCCATGAAGAGATCTACCTACCGACCGGGCTCATCAGACTGGCCCATAGACACACACCACTGGCTGTTGTGGTAAGCAGTCTCTCTTTTTTGCTTTCCCATCCTTTTGTCTTTTCCACTTCCTCCCCCTTTCTGTTTCATCCTTTTTCCACCACAAAGACAAGGAAAATCAGGTAAACCAGGTTCTTCTGTGAGGTTCATGACCAGAAAATCCTACATAGGTCACAGATCCCAGGACCCAGTATCCTCAGAGGTCTGACTGTTGTGGAGACGTTCACCCTAGTCACTCGCCCACCAGCCTCATGGCCGATACTGGTGGCAGGTCAACAGAGAGGATGCGCTCTGACCGCCCACTGACAATGAGGTTCAACCCAGGCTCAGCTGGGGACGCCTTTTGAGCAGCTGGGTTTGCGTGCCTATTTTCCTTGTCTCTGCTGCCTTTGCAGAACCGTGGGCAATCGTCCCTCCTCTATCCCTCCCTCCTCTCGGCTGGCCTGTGTTCTAAAAAACCTCAAACCTCTTCAACTGTCTCCGGACCTAAAACCCAAACGTCTCATCTTCTTCTGTAACTCTACATGGCTACAATACAAGTTAAACAACGGCTCCAATTGGCCAAAAATGGTACTGTCAACCTCTCTATTTTACAAAATTTAGACAATT